AACTGCATTGTATTTTCAATTCCAAGTTGAATACATGTTAGCTGTAGCATTTCGTATGCCATGTTTAAAATAGCCGAGCCTGCTATAGTTGCATTTTTGCATGTGTTGCATTAGGCATTTCTGTATAGTTAGGATCATGCATGGATTTCTAACCTAGCTTCTGCTTTGGCTTAGAGTACTCGGTAAGTTTTATGCTTTAGCATCCTTGCATGCGTGTGAGTGATTGCCATGATAGCATGCTCACCATGAGGCTATATGCTTATGTGATATACCTGCCTGAATGCCTGTGGGTGAAGGTTGGGTTATTTGGATTGGAACAAATCATTGACTATGAGTTTTAAACCCACTAGATATTAGCAAAATCACGTCTTCTTAAGCCCACCCGAGGGTGGCAAATCCACGTCTTAGCCTACTTGCAAGTAGCACCATCAAACCATTTTCAAAATAAACAAACATGAAACGTTTTGTTCTAATTCAGGCGATCCAGTCTATACTTGTATGCTGTGTGCATCATATAGTAAATCTAGGCTAATAACCGGAATAAGAATGCATAATGTTTTCAAAACTAGATATCATGGTTAGTAGAGACCGATCTTTGATCGGGCGAGCGGGGGTGCTCACGAAGTGACCTTCCCCAATCGTACCAAAGTTCCCGAGCCGAGGCAACTTTGGTGATGACGGACACGTGGCCTTAGGCAACGAGTCAGGGTTTCCTAAATTTCTCCAAAATAAAACATTTAGGTGGCGACTCTGTATCTGGCAAAGCAGTCCATGTTTGGCACTTCTTTACAAAAAAATCTATTTTCTCAAAACGATTTGCCGGATTTGGACTCTTTGGTTCAGATTGAGAACCATGACAATTTGAGAGTCCGAACTGTAGTGAGCCCAAAATGAACAGAACGGGACTCATCCCCCCGGGGCGTTCGGGGATGTCTACAATGCCCCAATCACATCTATTCGGCGTTCTATGATTCATCAATCTAATCGGCTTAAGTGCCCTAGCCGTTCCCCGAATCGATGCCTCAACACAAGGTCCTTATGGACGTGTTATTCGGCGTTCTACGATCGCGAACCCGCTGGGGCAAGGGCAGATTCATCAATCTAGTCGACTTAAGTGCCCCAGCCATTCCCCGAATCGATGCCTCAACACAAGGTGCTTATGGACGTGTGATTCGGCGTTCTACGATCGCGAAACCGCTGGGGCATGGGCAGATTCATCAATCTAGTCGACTTAAGTGCCCCAGCCGTTCCCCCGAATCAATGCCTCAACACAAGGTCCTTATGGACGTGTTATTCGCCGTTCTACAATCGCGAACCCGCTGGGGCAAAGGCTGATTCATTAATCTAGTCGGCTTAAGTGCCCTAGCCGTTTCCCGAATCAATGCCTCAACACAAGGTCCTTATGGACGTGTTATTCGGCGTTCTACGATCGCGAACCCGCTAGGGCAAGGGTAGATTCATCAATCTAGTCGGCTTAAGTGCCCCAGCCGTTCCCCGAATCGATGCCTCAACACAAGGTCCTTATGGACGTGTTATTTGGCATTCTACGATTGCGAACCCGCTGGGGCAAGGGCAGATTCATCAATCTAGTCGGCTTAAGTGCCCCAGCCGTTCCCCGAATCCGTTCCCTGAATTGATGCCTCAACACAAGGTCCTTATGGACATGTTATTCGGCATTCTACGATCGCGAACCTGCTGGGGCAATGGCAGATTCATCAATCTAGTCGGCTTAAGTGCCCCAGTCGTTCCCCGAATCGATGCCTCAACAAAAGGTTCTTATGGACGTGTTATTCGGCGTTCTACGATCGCGAACCCACTAGGGCAAGGGCAGATTCATTGGTTTAATCAGATCGCTAAGCTCAATCGGCTTGTAAGTCTGCCGCCTCACGTAGTCTTGGAATTTTGTCCTAGCCACTGATTCTCCTAACTGTCTACTCATACAACAAACAATACGAGAAATATCTTGAAAGCATATGAAATTTTCATTCATAAATTGGGCGTTAACAGCGGACATTTTACATATGAAAATCCAACACAGATGAAAATCTACTAAACAATACTAAACAAAAACAGACATTGAAATCAAGAAAAATCTAACAAAACTAGAATGTCTCCCAAATCAAGTCTCAAGGTCAGACTCAAGCGGCTCAACATCCACTTGCTCGTAGGGAATTGGCGTTGCCAATGTAACTCCAGCGGCAGCAAGGGCTGTGAGTCAGCCGTGTTTCAACCCCCGATTCTCGAATTTAGGGACTTCTTCTACATAGTCCTTAAAGGCGGAGCTCTTCTCGGCCTCGAACGCCGCCGAAGACTCAGAGTTAGCTTTCTCCTTAGCCTCCTTCAACTCTCCAAACTCGGCCTCTAGCTTGGCAAGCGCCTCCTTGGCTAACTTGAGCGACTCCTCGCTCGCATTTTCCCTCTCTTCGGCGTCAAACCTGAGTTGATTAGCAGTATTAGCCCTTTCCTTCTCAACCTCAGCTCGCGCGCTTTCCATCGCGGCTCTCATTGCCTCGAACTCTGCCCTGCGCCTTTGACCCTCGACTTCAGATTGCAAACGGTCAATCCTTTCAACAGCGTCATGCTGGCAGCGGCCCAATTCTGCGATCTTTCTAACCGTCTGCAAAACAAAGGATCGTCATGTGCCAAGAAACATCAAATGCAAACCAAACGAAAGATATAGTCACGTACCAGAAAAGCCAACTGGGTGGCCAATGCTATTGTCACCAAATCCGGCTCAGCACGAAAGGTCGCCTTGTCAGCCGGCAAGGAGACCAAGGCAGCCAGGCTTAGTGCCACAGCTGCATCTTTCAAAGCCGACGCTTCGGAGAAGATCAGCATATTTTTTATCTTTGGCTGAATAACAAAAGGAGCAACCACAGCCGACTCCTCCAAGCATGGCCGTTTTTCAAAGGGGCCCCCTTCAGAGCCGTCCTCACCCTCAGCACCTCGTTTTTCGCCCCGATCCTCTGAAATCGGCCGAACTTCCGTAATCGGGTGCTCGACCTCCCTTTCCGTCTCGGCCATGACAACGTGAGACGTTTCTTGTACGACAACAGGAGCAGTAGATTCAGTCGGGACAAGTTCGGAACAGATGGCTACGGCCTTTTGTCGGGCGGCCATGCGTTCGCATTCCTTTTTCGTGCCATCTGTGTAAGACTATCCCCGGCCACATCCTCAGAGAAATCGCCGGGAAGATCTCCGAAGTTCATAAAGATATCTTCGGCGTCCCCTCGGCCTGATGTAGATGGAGGGTCAGAAGTGTTCAACCTGGCTCCCCCAAAGGCCGAATTTATGGCTTCGTCAACTTCCGCGGCCAACTCCTCTGAGTCCTCGACGATCGGTTCGGTAATTTGTCCTTCCAAGTGTTCAGAATCAGACGATTCGAGGCCAATCTGCCTCAAGTTTTTGAAGTTGGGGAAGATGAGGGCGGTCAGTTGGTTATCGCCTCATGCGATGGGAATATTATCTGCCGCCGAGAATGTTGTGTAGGTTGGCTCATACCGCAGAAGAATGTGGACTGCCCCCTGCCCTTATTTTTGAAGGTCTGGACGGCCGACGAACTGTAGTGCAGTTTTAATTTCTGCAAGCACAACTTCGTCGTCTGAAGTCAACACTCGCTTCAAGTCGCTGCCTGCGCAGACAAAACGATTAGGTGAGCTAAAGTGCCAAATACATGCATATGTAAGTAACAAAAACAGTGATTTGGTCGGCCACCTGGTTCGCCTTTTTGCCTTGGCACAGGATCTAGGTGATCTTCTCCTTCGCCAAATTCCCAATTACCGCGGACAACGACTATCACGTCATCGACACGCTTGCCAGAGCTAGCAAGCATGGTCACTAAGTGGTGGTCAGTGTCCTTGGCTCTAAGGAAGTAGCGTCCTAGACGGCCAATGGACTTGGCTAGGACATAATAGTGCCGAATGACGGGAATACCTAAATTAACTCTAAGACACCGATTTATCCCTACAATGCCCATTATGATGCGGAAGAAGTTCACATTGGGCTGGGAGGGAACACTACAAGAAATTGCACTTTTGGCGACGACGCCAATTTTTCATAGGCAAAACTATGTTTTTGGCGACACAGTGATAAATTTCGTTGGTAAAAGTAGACCTTTACCGACGCAATTTACAATCGTCGCTAAAAAAGTATAACATTTACTAGGCGCCAAAATTATTGGTTGGCACCAAAATTTTAAAACTTTTAGCTACGAGGCTTATTTTTTAGCAACACAATAAGCGTCGCTATTAGTGTGCTTACTTTTGGCGACGACTAGTTGGCGTGGGCAAAGAGTTAAACATTTAGCGACGATAATACTATTCATTGGTAAAAACTTTGCTAGTGAAATAAGGTAATTTAGTGATTTGTGTTTTTATTATGACTTTTCAAAGAGTTTTAAATATTCTAGTTATTGAATTGTAAAATTAAAGTGATCATCGAATTAGATCACAAAATGAACTCATCAAGCCCAAACACACTCTTAAGCTGAGATGGCTAATTTGAGATAATCTAAACTTTTCAAAGAATGTTAGATTATTAATTTTAATATATTTGGTTTTATTTTCAGAAACTTGTTTTAGATTTTTTTTTCCCTAAAAAACTTTAAAAAAATTTGGTGAAAAAATAAAAAAATACTTATTGTTTTTATATAATTCTATCTTTTAGGTGGTCATAAATAATTTAAAAATATATTTCTAATATTTATAGTTCTCAACTTAGTTTTAACTTTTTTTTTTAAATAATTAAAAATTGTTTTATTTTTATTTTTTTTTTCTTTTGGTGATTTGTCTTTAAAAATTGAGGCGGTGAAAAGTTACCTCTTAAAATTTTCTCTTCCTTTCTAGGAGGTAAACCCCTCATTACTCTCAAAATTTCCTCTTTTAATTTTCACAATGCACAATTTATGTAGTGAATGATATTAAAAAAAATAAATAAATAAAAGCCCCAATGACCAAAAATGTATTACGTACTGTGGCTTCTAATTGGGTTCTAGAGGAAGTGTTTTTTGGGTGAATACTAAAGGGAAGTTAGAAAGCTGTAAATTAGATAACCTAGAAGAGAAGGGAGAAGAGAGAAGGTTCGAAGGGGAGAGTGGTTCAGCGGCGCCAGATTTCGAAGGGGAATGATCGAGGGCGGCAGCGATAGACGGTTCGGCGAGACCGGTTCGGCGGCAGCAACGCTTGACAATTCGAGACTGGTTCGACGGCTCGACGATTCGGCGGCGAGACTGGTTCTTCTCTTCGATCTGTAAAACATCTCAGGTATGTTCGGATTCCCCCCCCTCTCTCTCTCTCTCACACACACACACATACACACACACACCCATACATATAAAGCACACTATGTAAACATTTGGGGTTGTAGTCTCTTATGGTGGAGGATCAACAATTGACGATTGCGATATTTCATACAATCTCATGTTGTATAGGACAACTTCTGAGATTTTTGAATGACATAAGAATATGACTAGATACACTTGGGAATTCAATAGATTTCATATGCCTTGTGTAAGTGGATCCTAATCATGTTATGGACATAACACAATATGATCTCATCTTGTATAGGAACATCTGTGGAATTTTAGAGTCAAATAAGCATATGATTTGATCATGTGGGAAATTAAACATTGGGTTTCATATACCTTGATTAAGTAGATACTAGTCATGGATGTCTGAAAAGCATTAATTGTAACCATTTATACTAAATCGTAAGTCTGCTGTTGATTCATGAATAACTTTCTGAGATGTGTTACTTTGCAACCGAAGATCATGAATGTGCTTGCACAGGACAAGGATTGTATAATTTCAGGGTATATTTATTAGAAATCCTGAATTAGAACAGATTAGATATGACTATTCAGTTAGGAAGGTTTATATGGTGTTGGAATATAGTATGAAGTATAGCAGAAAAGAGATAAGTTTTGCAAAATGCAGTTGATGTCCAGTTTCTGGTCTATGAAATTCAGAATAAGAGAGAAATGTGTGTAATATTCTGATTGCTTTTGGATTGGCTTATCAATCCAGGAAAATCATCCTTAACCATGTTCCATGACATAAAGTTGAAAAGAATATCAGTGTTTCCGATTCAAGTCTACTGCAATACATATTGTTATGGTTCCACAATGATATTGACTGACTTATATAGATTGTTCTGTATCGCTATATCATTAGTGAGAGAGATATTTTTGAAAATGTTGAATAATGAACTACAATTTGGATAACTTTTACTACATAATGTTGTGATAAATAACAATGGGCTTGGAACCAAACATTGCCTAAAGTTTTTGAAGTCTATTGCTAATCGTTTCCATATCCTAAGATTGATTGACAACCACAAAAAGAATCAAAACCTGACATATTAAAGCTGCACTTGAATCAGCAAAGAACATAAAAAGAAAAGGAGAAGAAAGAAATAAAATTAAAAAGCTACTGTCGTCCTTGTATGCAATAATTGCTCTTTCATTAGTCTGCCATAAATTCTTGAGAAAAAACATCAATATAGTTCAAAATGATGACACAATGTAACTTGTAGGTGGATGTTTCTGGTCCTTGTACATAGGGTGGTTGCATCCAAGCATAAAAGTGGAAGCCACGTGAAGAAAACAAATATACCTTAATGATTATCAATGTTCTAATTATCAATGTTCTTCTATTTTTCAAATTTTCTTTGCATAGACTGTAACCCTTGTAGTTTGGCTCAAAGAGGAAAAGAGTACCTTTATGAAGTTTATTAAACCTTGCCCTCTAGTGTTCTGCAACAACAAACAACAAACTAAAGGGCTTTTTTTAATAGCTGTTTTGAAGGATTCAAGTTGAAGAAAATGTTTAGGTTGTCTCTCCTTTTATAATGTTTGGAGAGACAAAGTTTTATTTTAATGATGCATATAAACTACACTAGATGTACAAATTTCATGTTGTGCTTTTTGCCAAACAAGGAAATTGTAAAGGTGAGAGAGGAAGACAATAAGTAGACCATGATTTTGTGTTCACTGGCTGCCCAACTATATAATGACGGCAACTTGTATTTAGTGAGTGAGTCAGTAACTAGTATTGGATTAGAGAGTAGTATAGTATAGTATAACTTACCCTAAAACGTTTTCCATAGTCACAGATCCATACCCACCATAGCTTCCCACCTGCCCTACAGCAACCATTCCAGGTGAGAAGATGAAGATGAAGATGACGATGACAATGAAACCGCTGAAAAATCACACACACCACAAAATAATATAAAAAAAAAAAATTAAAAATATCAAAATACATTTTTTTTTCGGTTGTGAAAATTAGTGAGTTAGTTAATTAGTTAGTAGTAAGTTAAATTACTACTTATAAACATTCGATGCTTCACCATAAATTCAAACTCAGAACTCTCCCCAATTTATTTCTTAGAAATCAAGGAGTATAATCACTTGAATGTTTGAAGAAAAAAATAAATAAATAAAACCCAAGGATCTCAACTACTTGACCTAAACTTAAGTTCTTCATAAAACTATCAATTGATCCATATTAAAAATAGAAAAACAGTTTAGTCTTTAGCATAATTTGAACAAAGTGACAAATGTAAAGCAATAAATATATACATATTGTAAGTACATCTACAAAAGCATTTTGTTTATGCCCATTATTCAATATTCTACCTAAGTATGTAATGTGATAGGGGATGGGTAGTGGCAGAAGAAAGATCGGTCTTTAGGTTTGATGTGTGGGGATAGTTTCTTCGTTCTTCGGTACCTTATTTTTTCTTTTGTTCACATCCCTAGTTATTTTCTTGTTTACTTTAGGCCTTGAGTGTGGGTTTTTAATGGGGTTGATGCTGGATGTCTTACCTGTGGCTCCTTTTGGTTACATAATAGTATATATGTTGAGCAACAGTGGACTTGCTTCTTGTGAGTTAGAATATCTGCAAGGAGAAAATATAGATGTAGAAGTTGATGTTCTATCCCTTACCTATATTTTGTATGTTGCTTATCTGTCTTGTGAATGGTTAGACTTGATGCATATTGATATCTAATTTTACTTCCCTTGCAGTAAATATAGATATGAACTACAAAAGAAGAAAAGGGAACAACAAAAGAAAAGTATTGGTGAATGTCTCCTCTGTTTGTAGTTTGCTGTTTTTCTCTTATTTATGCATTAATGATCAGTTATGAGGAAAGATACTAATAAAATTATGCACCTGAATGATAGCCAACAGGGTGGATTTGAAGGAGCTCAAGATGGGGTAATTAACTTGGCCTTCGAAGCTCGCTTTCACTTATAATCTTCCTATTAAAATTTGCATATTGTTTTCCATTACCTTCTTGTCTTCTAATTTCCCAATGACTGCATCTCCTTTGTAATTCGTGGATGTGCCTTTGAATGTTGAAATGCACATAGAACATGGGAAGTGTAGTTTCAATTAAAAAGTGTCAAATTTACCAAAACAATTTGATATACTACTGATTGGTATTTGAACTTGCCCAATCTGAAACTTGGGATATTAATATCTTGCTACATTTGGGAATGAGCAATTGTTCTTACTGTTCTTTCTTATTTTTGACTGAAATAAATGGTGGAAATTGGATTTTAATGAATGACATCATTCTGTTTTACCAATTAAAGGTGTACATAGGGAAAATGTAGGCCAACTTTGTGATGTGGTCAGCGTGGATGTTGAATTGTCGATACGTAGCTGTTAAACCTGATCATCCATTGTACTGACACATCATAAGATTGATCACAGTTAGGACCAGCTATGAAATACCCAGTTGGAGGGGAAATATACACCTCAACCTTGTGTCTTTTGTGCACTTGTTTTTATTTATAATTTATTTGTGTTGGTAATCTACCCTTTTATTGGGATGTTTCATTTCATATCTACTGTGTTGAATCGCTTGACTTCTGAACTCATGGGGTAATGTTCAAGTGTATTGTTGACCAGTTGAATTTTATATAAAATATTTTGGATTTTTACATACGTTCAATTCAATGTACAAAGTCATGTCAAGGATAGGAGGGTACTATACACCTCTTTTTGGCAGATGATGTAGTTGTGTGTGTGAGATTTGAGTACTTCTATCAGATCTCAAAAAAGAAAAAAAAAACAAAGAAGAGAACTGTACACCTCACTTCTACTATTAGGCTTACTTATTTATAATTTTTATGTTTCAGCAACCCACCCTTTTATTTGTTTTTTCAAATGTACTACATTGAATACTACACTTCTAATCGTAGGATTTGAAATTTCACTTAATATTTATTATCTATTATAGATTAGTTGAATTTTTATCAACTGTTTTGGATTCAACATAAATGCATTTAATGAATAAAAGTACCAGCAATGACTTGATTAGCTTGTAGTGATTTGGGTTCCAGTTCTTTTGAGGTTATGTAACCAATGTTTTTATTAGAATCTGTATATCATGGTTTGGTAAAAATCTTGCATGCTTAAAACCCCTTTCTGCAATGTTGAACACTAAATGAGGTAAATGTTTATTTATTTATTTGTATATGGCTTTATATTTGTAAATTTAACTTTTCTTCTATTTTTTAAGCTTCTCTCCATTTTAATGCACATTTTTGGGGGTCTGTATACAACTTAAAATCTTGTTTTGATAAACAAGTATAGAACTTTTTGTTACTAAATGCATTTCTGTTTATTTTACTTGTTTCTATTGATTCTGTTGACAGTTACAACATCGATGTGCATGATTATACTGTGCGTTTGAAAGCTGCACGGAAGTTTCTGAATGATGGAGACAAGGTGGTTTTGAATTTTTTTTTGTGGTGCCAGCATATTCATACTGACACACTAATTTATGAATGATTTTGCATTCCTTTTACTATATTGATATCTAGTCAATTCCTACAGGTTAAGATTATAGTGAACTTGAAGGGCCGTGAAAATGAGTTCAGAAATAATACTAGTGAGCTTATTAAGTGTTTTCAGAATGATGTTGGGGAGGTACTTGTATCTATCTCGTTGTTCAAAATCTTTCATACTTCTATCCCGGTGCCAACTTTTTTAGACATTCAACATAAGTCATAAAAAATGAATATCGTACAGTGATAATGAATTTTTAATTGTTGGATTGAAGTGTATAGGAAAATTTATGATCTGAAGTTACTATTTAATTATTTAATGTCATAGTATTCAGTGTGAATAATTAGTCAACAATATTTCTTTTCTATTGTACCTATGATTTAGGATCAACTGTGGTATCCTTCTTCCATTTTAGCCTTGGCGATTATGTTTACTTAATGTTTCTAAAACCATAAGAAGTAGAAATCTGCTATATTTGCTATTAGTTCCTTCACTGAACTAGAAGTGCAAGTGCTTGTGCTGCTATATATAACAGATTTCACCTCTCCACATAAAATCAGATGCTTCAATCTCTCTTTTGCTTCCTTGGATGTGTAACCAAACAATTACAGAGGACTTCACCTCTCCACATAAAATTCACAATGGCCAAGATATACAGTTATTGTTTTCTGTATCTATTTCAGTTATAATTTGGTCCATCTGCATCAAAGTTGTGTCCAATGAGCTTGTCTTTTAACCATCATTTGTTTTTGCAGAGTTACAATCGGGATTTTTTCTTATTTCTCTACTTCCTTCTCATCATAGTTTCAGCAATTACTTCTTTCAAGATTCATCATGATAAGTCACCAATCTCAGGAAAATCCATATTGTATCTGAACAGGCATCAAACTGAAGAGTGGAAAGGTTGGATGCAGGTTAGTCAGTTTTTAAGATGACATGTCTATTTCTTAGAATTGTCTAATTTTTAGAATTGTCTAATTTATTGTTACTTGTTTTCAGTGTAAAAGAAACAATTTATTTCTTTTGTGTTTGTTTCTAGTGTCTTTTGTGATTTGTTTGGAAGTTTGAGCTCTAATCAATATAATTCCCTCCCACTCCTTTCAGTGTTTCTCTACCTGGAAACACTTCCTGTCTTGTCTGCATCGTGTAGTCAATCCTTAGAAAATATATTGGTAGTTGATAAAGAGAAGTAACTTTGAGATGGGAAATTGCAGTTGGAAATGGTTAGAGAGAGAGAGAGAGAGAGAGAGAGAGAGTCAACAAGTTGCTGAAAGTTTATTTATTACCCTGCTCTATAATTGGAACTAGGAGCAGTTTGTGAAGGGCCTGGGAATGTTGCCTTCAAGTTTAATTGAGGTGGGATGCTGATCAAATCTTTTGGTTATAGGACCTCCAAACTACACTCTGTCTGAAGTCATTAATCCTGTGAATAAATTAAAGCTCTTTTCAGCCATAAGAATTTTGTTTTCACTTCCTAATCAGATGAAACATCTAGAATAACTTCTTCATGCTTAAATTCAACATTAACTTGCCATTCCTTGATGTCCATTCTTTTTTTTTTCTTCTAATTATCATGCAAGGATTAGCAAAGAACTTGGCTTGAGTAGCTCCTATTAAAATGCCTTTACATGTTGGTCATCTCTTCTGAAATGCCCCCAGGAATGTCAAATAATGCAAGCTGGCCTGGAGGTTGCAGATGCACCAAGCTCATCTGAGATGCATGAATCAGATTCGGCTGCTGCAGCTGCTGCTGCTGGTTTGTTGCTGCTGCCACCCTTGTGGTTGATGCTTGCTCGGCTGCTGCTGCAATGTTGCTGTGAGACGGCTGCTATTAGATGTTGGTCTGCTGGATAAGTTTGTGGATACTTTTCATGTCGTTTTGCCTATCTTTGTTAGTTTCATGTTTTCATTTTGTTATCTGTTGTTTGTAATGTGGGTTCACAATTTGGATGTATTTGGGTATTTTAATGAGTTTACCCTTTTAGGTTTTATACACTACTTCTAAAAGCAGTATCAGCAGTGTTTTTTTTGCTTACACATCAACTTTAGGTGATTTCATATCAATGTTATTAGTTTGTAATAGTAGTGCCTGAGGGATGCCTCTTGTAAATCTGTAAATCTTATAAAAATATATAAATTATTTTCAATTGTTTTTGTTGGTAAATATGTCGCCAAAAGTTTATTTGTGTCCACTCATATTGTGTTGCTAGAAGTGTATTTTTAGCCAATGCCAATTTGTCGTTGCCAAACGTAAACCTTTATCGACAACAAATCGTCGGCAAATGGCAATATTTACCGATGTAAATGTGTTGTCAAAAGTTTACTTTTGCCTACTCATATTGTGTTACTAAAAGTGTATTTTTGCCAATGCTAATTTTTCGTTGCCAAAAGTGAAGCTTTATCGACAAACAAATCGTAGGCAAATGGCAACATTTACCGACGTAAATGTGTCGCCAAACGTTTACTTTTGCCGACGCATATTTTGTTGCTAAAAGTATATTTTTTGCCCATGCAAATTTGTGTCGCGAAAAGTGTCACACAATCATCATATTTGAACGACTTTTACCGACGCAAGGTAAATTGCCAACGATAGATGAAGGCTTTTAACGACGACTATGTTCGTCGCTAAAGGCATTACTTTTACCAACGCAATGATAAGTTCGTTGGCAAAAACTTTTACCAACTCACCTTTACCTACGGGTTGCCAACGTAGCTTTGTGTGTCGGCAAAACTTTTTGCCAACGAATTTTCCCTTTTAGCAACATATTTTGTTACGTTGCGAAAAATGCAATTTCTTGTAGTGTGACATGAGAAATGTAGGAGGGATTAGGGGCAAAATTTTGAAGGTCCTAAATTTTAGGTGGGAATTTCAAATTAAGATAATTTTTTGTGAAAAAATTTGTTCCTAATTTTTTTTTTAGATGTCAAAAATATGTTATGCTGGTTAAATTAATATTTTTTAATTATTATTCATTGTTTATAATTTTTATTTTTTTGAAGTTTTATGACTCAGTTTGAGTTGGGAATGAGACCCCAGTACCGAAGAACGACCCTCAAAAGTGGGTGAAGAAGAAAACAGACGCCACCCTCAACAATTGATAAGAGAGGAAAGACGATTGTGTTCTCGTCTTCCCTCACCATATCAGTAGTGCTGTCTGCCAAAAGTGACAGATGGACGTCGTCAGGGATGGAGAAGTGGCATCGAAAGCTGGAGATTCGATCCGCAGAAAGGAGCTCCTTCAAATGTTTCGCCATTCTTGCCGACTCAAGGATTACGGAAAACTAAAAGCAGATAAAGAGGGGGGAGCAAAAAATGTAGGAGAAGAAAACTTACAAGAGGCGAGGGAAAGATCAAGAAACAAGGGGTTGAAGAAGCTGCGGAATGTAGAAGTCCCACTAGAAGACGAGCCTGATATCTTCGAGTATTCAGAGCATACATTCGAAGAGACAAATTCAAATCGCATTAAATGGAGACAGCGTACGAAGGGGCGGGAAAGCGTTATAATAACCAAGAAGCATGTATGCGTTCTGACACACATCGAGAAGAGGAATAACCGTTGGATTTCTAACCTCCAGACTAGAAGCCAAACACGCCGACTAACTGGTGCTAGTGGGGTGTTTGGGGGGCAATTGTGGGAGCCGAATAATTTTGTATCAACAGGAGCGGACCAATCCAGTCCAGAACATAACTTCTATTCAGCATCGACCCTATCCAATTGAGGGGCCGAATAAAAGAGCCGGAATTCCTGCCAGTGAAACAAGGGCCGTGTAGAAGTACATGGCAAGGACTAGGAGTGGGCCAGGCCCCAAGGATCCAGGAGAATACTACAAATACAAGATCTTCAGTCCTAAAGAGGTATGTAAGAATTACTGTGCTTATCTTAGAATACAAGCTTCCTCAAGTGTAGATACTAACTTGCCCGTCAGAGTGCTAATTCCGGTACCCCCGACCGGAGTGTTTATTCTTTTTCAGGCGACCAGAAGAGGATCACGAGCGTTCCCCATGATCCTGAAGAGTATTTCCAAACCAGATCCCAACATTACTTTAGAATTTAAATTGAAGGCCCTATCAGCCATAGAAACCGAAATTGATTACGCCATTGTGATTAGCGTAATTTTTAGAGCCTACGGTGAAATTTAAATAGAAATTGATTCGGATCAAAATAATTAGATTCAGAATGATTAAATTGGGATTAATTACTTAGCCTTAATCAAACTTGATTAAGCTAACATATATAAGTAGCCTATTTACATTTTTTGAGCATTGTTTTGAGCTCATTACTCTCCTTTGGCTGAGATTACACTCTAGAGAGAGTGAGAGTGCCGAATTTAGAGAGAGAGGGAACTCAAGATAGAGAATTGATCAAGGAGCTTGGTGATCTTGAAGATTAACTCAAGATTTGACTACATTTGTAAAGATTGGAGCTTCTAGGTGAGTAAATTCATGTGTTTAAGTTTGTAATTTTGTGAATTCAAAATTAAATGGTAATCAAGAACATGAATTGAGTTGATTATGATAAAATTGAAGTTGGTATGTACATGCATGAAGAAAATTACCATGAATTTGCATAATCTAACATGTAGCATGTCAATTATGAGAAATTGAGAGTTGAATCATACATGCAAGTATGGTTTTCTTGAGCTTCATGAGAGTAAACATCACTTGTGTCATTTGAAATGGTATTGGGGTCTATATTACACATGCATGAATGATCCATAGAGATATGGAGTATGTATAAAGTTAGAATGCATGAGCTTTGACCATGTCAAGAAGAATGTTGAATAATTTGAGAATTAAATCATGATTTTGAGCAATTGGCCTCATATTGCTTATGTCCTCATGATATATAATGTGCTTCCACATTTTTAAACCAAGAACATGAGTTTTGGGCTTTTGAATGTCAAGTTTGAGCTTTAAGAACAATTCTGGAAATTCTAGAATTTGGCATGTCCCCTTGAGCGGGAAGAACGCTGCTTGAGCATGAAATGTTAGTCCCCAGAACTTTTGCAGTCATTGATGTCCGCTCGAGCAGGGAGAGTCACGCTCGAGCGTTAGTCACATGTTTCGACTCTCAGCTCGAGCGTTCAAATTCATGCTCGAGTGCAAAAATGAGGCAACCAGTACTTTTGCAAACTAGAGGGGTCCGCTCAAGCGGCAAAAACGGCACTCAAGTGGATAGCCCTGTTTCAGAAATTTTGAAAAGTTATTTTGTGCATTTTCCGTTCCCTTTTATTTCTAAGCACTATTAGGCATACATTGAGCATTGTAAATGAATCAAGAAGATAAGAAAGAGGCCTAAGAGGAATGTATAAGTTAGGAACAGATTGAATAACTTGTGACCCAATATGTGTTATGTATTATATAGGGTCAAGCACAAGGACAAATCCACCGGCAGAACACTGTGAGTAATATCATAGTAAAGATATTTTCAAGTATGTTATTTTCAAATGCTAATTCTGCATAAGCTCCATGGATTTGTTGATTTGAATTACGAACAAATATTCGTTTGACATGAATGATTGGGCCAAAAGTCATTTGACATGAATGATTGGACCAAAGGCCGTCGGACATGAATGGTTGGGCCAAAGGCTGTTCGACATGAATGGTTGGGCCAAAGGCCATCAGATATGAATGAATTGGGCCCGAGGCCGTTTGATACGTCTGGATCTGTAATCGCTTGATGCACTAGATAGAAACATGAATTGGGCCCAAGGTCGTCTGATGTATTTGTTTCAAATTCCGTTCATGTATCTTCTTTATTTGATATTATTCACTGGACTTTCGCTCACTCTCATTCATGTGTCTGTAGGTGAGCCACGAGATGTCCAAACCTAGCCTTCGTAAAGTATATGAGAAACAGTCAAAGTTTTGAATAGTCAGCCCGAACGTCTCACGCACAAGACTCGTTTTTGCCCCTTTGTTCTTTTGTGATAATTTTGCTATGATTGGCGAAAACATTGGACCACCTTTGTACATGTAAGCTTTAGGCTTGGCTGACTAAGACTTGAATGATCCTATTGTGTAAAACTTATATGTTATTTCCCTTTTGGTGTGGGTTATTAATGAATATATCTTTGGGATGTTTTGATGTGCCATGAAAGCACAACTTTATGGACAATTTGTAAGTTTGCTTCATTATAGCCCCTCAACTCTGATGAAATATGATTTATTTGGTTTGAGGCCTTAGGTAATCATTTGATTACTGGCCGGTTATGACCTTAATCCATAGGGGCTGGTTCGGGTCATGACAGAGTGGTATAAGAGCACGAGTTAATAACTCGCACACTTGTCCAATAGAGCAATTAGCATCTAGAAAAGATCTAGGGTGCATTCATGTGATAAGTATGAATCTGAAAGCATCAGGAACATGTTTAAATGCTTCAAAGTGAATGATTATGTACTATAAGTTTGTGGTTTGCTTGCATTGCAAACTATTCGAATATGTGTGCTCTTTAGTATATGCATACTTGTGAATCTTTTGTATAAAGAATAATGCAAGTCTAATCAGATGGTGAGAACAAGGGGTGATGAAAGAGAGGAGTCTTCTACTGCCAGAATGGATAGAATGGAAGACTGATTCAGGAAATGGCAAAAACATTGAGGCAACAACAACAGTGGCAACAACCATGTCCTCCGCCTCCGCCTCCTCCTCCAGTGCCAGCTGTGCAAGACATTCAGAATGATGACCGAATAATCGCTCTCACCAAAGATTTTAAGAAAATGAAACTGCCATAGTTTCATGGCATTAGATCCGTTAAAGGCAGAAGCATGGGTCCTTGGAATAGAAAAGTTGTTTGCAGTGTTTCCTTGCCTAGAAACACAAAAGTATTGCTAGCCACTTTTACTCTTGAAGATGAGGCAAGAAGGTGGTGGATGCTAATGCGTGAAAGCAATAAGGATATTGGTTAGGCATGGTTCTTGGAGATTTTCTACGACAAATATTTTCCATAATGTGTTCGTGATAGGAAAGTATCGAAATTCATGGAACTTAAACAAAGCAATATGACAGTAGCAGAGTATGAGGCCAAGTTCACTGAATTGGCCAGATTTACACCACATGTGGTCGACACCGACTACAAGAAGGCGAGACATTTTGAAGGAGGACTTCGAGATGATATCCTAGAAAAGGTAAATGTTCTCAAGCTGGAAACCTAC